TTTTCTTCAGACTTTGTCAAGATGACTGTTTTTTCCTTGTTAAAGTACAGCTATAAATGGTTTATAGGAAAATATTTCAACTTATGTTGATAAATTAAAGGTTTTGGCTAGTCATGCATGTGGTTTGTGGGACTGCTTTCACTTTCCAGTATTGTTTCTGGGACAATAGCCTTTTCACCACTGCTTGCTTAATAATTTTGTCTATGCTCTCACTTGATATTTTATTAAATCCAAATAATATTTGGTTAAAGTCCCACTGTTTCCTATTCGTACCGTTGGAAATAAATTTAAAATAAAAATCTCTAGGGCCCACTTCAGCAAGAAGTAGTTACAGAAGAATGATCTTCACCCCATTTCCCAGGATCATAAGAAGAGTTCCAAAAACAGAAGTAAGAAAATAAAAGAACAAACCGAGAGTCAAAAGCCATTTTTTTAATCTTGTTCTTAAACACCAACACAATGATAAAAAAATAAAGGCTGTGTTCTGGAAAGTACATGCTCTAGGTAAAAATTAATCTTGCTGACTTTGTCTTTTCTCTGCTTTTGGCTACCTGTCTCTCCTCTTGGACCAATTCAGCCCCACTTCTTCCCCTATGGGAAGTTCCATAGGGAACAGATCAAGACATGTGACCCTTCCTGATATATATTCCTTTCTCAACCTCTGATTTATATAATTAAAAACTCAGAACCTGCCATTCTCAGAAAAACCACAGGTTTTCATTTCTTTAATAAAATTAATTAGCCAGGCTTGGTGGCTCAGCCTGTAATCCCACACCTTTGGGAGGTTGAGGTGAGTGGATTGCCTTAGCCCGTGGGTTCGAGACCCACCTGGGCAGGCGAGACTTCATCTCTATAATAAATCAAAAAATTAGCCGGGCGTGGTAGCACGTGCCTGTAATTCCAGCTACTAGGAAGGCTGAGGTGGAAGGATCACCGGAGCCCAGCAGGTCAAGGCTGTGGTGGCCGGGAGCAGCCACTGCACTCCAGTCTGGGCAACAGAGTGAGACTCCAACTCAAAAAAAAAAAATAATAAAATAAAATAAAATAAATTATGCACACACATTGCCCCACTTGAGACGGTTGTCAGCAACTCTTTATAACTTTGTTTGCTTCTGAGAAGCAAGTGTGCATTAGGAAGTCTGTTCTAGCCTCAGCTGCAAGTACTCAGGAAAAAGTCAGGACATGTTAAATAAGGTTTTTCCCTCCTCTCACCCAGACTGGGATCCTAACACTTCTGCCAGGTCCAGGGCATTAGATACCTATCACTGGGCTCTATTAGGAGATTTGAAGGGGGCAGCCAAGAAACCTGTTAATCTTTCTAAAACCACTGAGGTTCTTCAGAGACCCAAGGAGTCTCTGGGGGTGTTAACTTATACCCCTTTTGATCCTTCAGCTTCCTGAGAATGCTTGAGCTATTAACTTGGCATTTGTGGCTCAGGCTTCAGACATCTGAAAAAAAGCTGCAGAAACTGGAGGGTTTGGCAGAAATGAATGTTTCTCAGCTACTTGAAATAGTTTCCAGCTGGCCTTCCTGTCTCAGCAAAGAAGGCACAGCTCTGCTACACCGAGGTCTTCTATCTGGGATGCCAGCTAACAAAGGGTAAGCAAGCTCTGAACTCAACCTAGAAAAAAGTCATTCCTCAAATTCCCAAGCCAACCACAAAGAAACAGGTATGGAAATTCCTGGGGATGGTGGGGTATTGCCAGTTATGAATCCCTAGTTTTGCTGAAATTGCCAAACCTCTATACACTGCCATGGCAGGGGACCAGCCCCTGTGATGGACAGCTACTGAGGAACAAGTGTCCCAGCAGTTAAAGATGGCTCTCACTCAAGCCCTGGTTTTAGCTCTCCCAGATGTTGCCAAGCCTTTTCACTTGTTCATTCATGAATAATGAGAAATTGCAAAAAGGGTCCTCACTCAGACGCTAGAATCCTGGAGAAGACCAGTGGCTAACTTCTCAAAAAGACTGAACCCAGTAGCCTCTGGCTGGCCCTCTGGGCCACTGCAGTTACAGCCATGCAGATAAATTAACTTTTAGGCAAAACCTGACTTCAACTGTTCCCCATACTAATGAAACTTTGCTCCAAGGAGCCTCTGGCTGCTGAGTGTCAAATGCTCATATCACTCAATATCAGAGTCTCTTACTTGACCAACCAAGACTAACTTTCTCTCCAGTCAATGCCTCAATGTGGCCATTGCTGCCTGATAACAATCCAGAGATGCCAATTCATTACAGTGAAGATGGGTTGGACATCTCTCAGGGCAGCTGGCCAAATCTTTGGGACACTCCATTAAGCCAGGCTGATGCTGACCTGTTCATGGAGGGTAGCTGCCTGGTAAAAGAGGAAGTCCACAAGGTTGGCACAGCAGTAACCATGGCTCACAATGTAATCTGGTCACAGGCATTGTCTCAAGGTACCTCAGCTCAGAAAGCTGAACTAATTGCTTGACTCAAGTTTTATGCTGGGGAACAGGAAAATGAGTAAACATCTTCACTGACAGCTAGTATGCTTTTGCCACACTTCATGTGCATGCCATAATCTACAAGGAACAAGGACTTATTACTGCTGCAGGTAAGACCATCAAAAACAAGGAAGAAATATTAGCCCTCCTATAGGCCATATGGCTCCCTACAGAGGTAGCCTTCATTCATTGCAGGGGACACCAGAATTTTATCACTCCAGAAGCAACTGAGAACCACCTGGCAGATCAGGCAACTCATAAGGCAGCAGAACTCCCAATTAAACCCCTAACTATCCCGCTAACTAAAACCATTCCAGCTCCTTCTCTCCCAAAACAGCTGACCTATACTCAGGAAGAAGAGGAACAGGTGGACCTAGTGGGAGCTTACAAAGACTCCACTGAATGGAGAATTAAGGACTCTAAAATTATTCTGCCTGAAGCCTTGAAACATGCCTTGGTAAAACAACCACATTCTACTACCCATTTAGGAGATACTAAAATGACTGAGCTGTTAAATTGTTTTTATCATATTAATATCTTAAAAAGCATAGCTGCAACGAGCTGCTATGTGCCCGGTCTGTGCACAAGTCAGTGCAAAACAAGGACTCAGACATTCAGGTGGCATCAGGGCTCAAGAAGTAATCCCCAGAGAAAAATGGAAAGTAGACTTTACTGAAATAAAACTCCCTCAGGCAGGGTACAACTATTTGCTGGTTTTGGTAAATACTTTTTCTGAATAAAGGTCTTTGCCACAAGAAATAAAACTGCACTTATGGTTGCAAGGATTTGTACTAAATGAAATCATTCCTAGGGGGGATTTGGACTCCTCCCTCTATTGGCTCTAACAATGGTCCTGCCTTTACCTCACCCATAGTACAGCTGGTTAGTAAAACACTCAACATTAACTGGACATTGTACTTACTCACCACAAAGCTCTGGACAGGTAAAATGCATAAACCAAACATTAAAATCTACTTTAACCAAATTAATAATAGACACCAGTGAAAAAATGGGTAAATCTTCTGCCTATAACTCTTCTCCATATCCAATGCACCCCCAATAAAGCTGAGTTTACTCCCATAAAATCATATTTGAAAGACCCCCCTCCTCTGTCAACCTGGTTGCAGGATCTCATTCTTCAAAAAGCAAATCACTTATCAATCTCTGTTTAAGTATGTCCAGTCTCTACAACAGGTCCAGAATATTGTCCACATCAACATCCAGGCCACCTTGCCAACTCTGTTTTCCACACCATGTCATCTGCTTCAGCTTGGTCTCTGTCAAAAAGTTCCAGAAGAAAAAAACTGACCCCTGCCTGGAAAGAACTCTACAAAGTCATCCTGACCACCCCAACAGCACTCGCAAGTCAAGAAAGACAAAAAGAATAACATTGCTCCACCTTGCTCAGACACTTAAGATGAAAATCCTCTCACCCTCCATCCTGCTTCAATCACACCACAGGCTGACCAGCCAACGCTCAGCTAAACTGTAAAACTCCAACTGCTTAAAATAGACTAATTTACTGGTTACTGTTATTAATTTTTTAATGCATTGTACTCATTCCTTAACCCTTGCCTTTGTCATTAACCAGTGAGTCAACAAATTGACTCAGGTACAACTAAAAGGGGGGAATGAAATATGTAAAATAATTACAATAACTTGTTTGACATAAGTAGCTCCATTTTGTTAAAATTCTCCATCTTACCTGTCTGCCTGACATAAAAATGAGCCCCTCATTCCATTGGATATGTGTAATTGCTGTAACATTCCCATGGCCACAGACCCACAGCTGCATTCCCCTGAGCTGATCATGCTGACCGTTCTTGCTGGTCATTGAAAACTCCCTAGCCACAAGTTCTGTGTAATTGTATGTCTTGTTAACTGAAATCCAAGAAATTGTTCCTTGTACCCTCACCCTCTGCTATGTAGCTGATTTGCAGTTTTTACCTTTAAAAACTTGTTGCAAACTTCACTTAAGCATCAAGAGCTTTCTTGGTGTGAGTCTACTCTTGACCCATGCATTAATAAAGGGCTTATAATTCAGACTTGGCGTGCTGGCATGTCTCCTTCTTGCACTTCGGACATAACAATGTCATGAACCTGTGTCCCACCCTCCTTATTCAGCCAATCTCACCCAAGCTTCTTTTTTTTGATTGTTTCCTCAAATAATAAAAGTCCTTAAAGGGAAATGTTTTGCCAATGTAGAAGAGATGACACAAAAAACAGCAAATGCACTAAGTCATCACAATTGACAAGTTCAAAAATTGTTTTGAGCAGTGGAAAAAGCATCTTGATAGGCGTGTTGCATCAAAACAGAGTGTACTTTGAAAGTGACTTAAGTTTAAACTTGTAAGGGGGAGGTGAGTGAGGTGCCTGCTGCTCAACTTTGGGGGCAAATAACTGGGATGTGTTTATCCATATGCTCTGGTGAAGCACCGGTGCGTCTTGGGATTCCTTCCAGCTAGTGATTTCTGTGGGTTCCAAGAAGAGGGAGGGCCGGATGGAGGAGATACGGAACTGATGCTGCTGGTCCCCTGGCTCCCGGTGAACTACTGCTCTGGCCTGCTGGGAACAGGACTTCTAAGAGGCAAATATGTCTGGAAGGCTGTGGTCCAAAGCCATTTTTGCTGGCTATAAGAGAGGTCTCCGGAACCAAAGGGAGCACACAGCTCTTCTCAAAATTGAAGGTGTTTATGCCCGAGATGAAACTGAATTCTATTTGGGCAAGAGATGTGCTTATGTATATAAAGCAAAGAATAACACAGTGACTCCTGGCGGCAAACCAAACAAAACCAGAGTAATCTGGGGAAAGGTAACTCGGGCCCATGGAAACAGTGGCATGGCTCGTGCCAAATTCCGAAGCAACCTTCCTGCTAAGGCCATTGGACACAGAATCCGTGTAATGCTGTACCCCTCAAGAATTTAAACTAATGGAAAGTAAGTAAATAAAAGTGGATGTGTGTTCTTGTATTTTTGTTAAGTGGCTTTAAAAACCTTATTGCCCTTGAGTTGCTATTAAAGTGGTGGAGGTTATCCATCATTTTCAAAATACAGGGAATTCAGAGAACTGTATATGTTGTAAAAGCAGTTCCAGGGTGATTATAGAGATTTTGAAGATAACAGGTTTTAACGTCTCTTAATGCAAAGCCTTAATGGGGGAGAAGCTTTGGGGAAAGTGAAAAGGTGACTGCCTTCTTCATTAGATTGAGAGTAAGTGAAAGAAGTTTAAAGTTACCTTTTAAAATACCTTGTAATACTGTGCACTTGTTCAATATAGATTGGTTGGGATACTTAGGTAAAAGTGGGAATTGGGAGGAATTTGGAGATTATATTGATGGACTTTGGCAGCTCATTCAAATAGGCTGGGATGAGACATCCTTGGGATTTGTGACTGGATAGACATCCCAGTATCTTACACTTGACTGGAAGCAGTATGTATGCTGAGAATATCAAAGTTAAGCCATGTTATTCTACCTCAGAAGAAGTCCTGTGGTATATGAGGGGGAAGAGTGCATGCTCAGGTAGCAGCTTTTCTTGCCTTCATGATTTAATGTAATAAAGTACAAGGTGGTGTATTTTACCATGTTATAAATAAGGCTCCAGGAGATTTTAAATATCTTGATGTGCTAAAATAAAATTTTGAGCTTATATCAAAAAAAAAAGAATAAATGAACAATTTTTTATAAATAAATTTTATTTGGGAGGATTCCCCCATATATATATGTCTATTAAAATTTTTTTAAAATCAATTTTATTTTATTTACTGCTATTTTGAGTTTGGGGTCTCTGCTAGCCTAACTAAACCTTATATGATTAGTAGGGATTTTTCTTAAGTAGAAGGAGAAAGTGATCATTTCCATTATAAAGTTGGAAGTGGGTAAATTTGATAGGCAAATGTCAAGTGTTTGGGAGAATGCATATATATGTTCCCAGTAAAGCAGAAGGTGATAATTATTGGTAAATTTTTTTCAGAAAAGCTACATGGTGGAAGTGAAACTGTAACATTCTGTTTTAGACAGAACTCCAAGAACTTGTTTTAAAATTTTTTCTGGTACTAAGTGGAAAATAATTAAAATAGATTTAAGATAACATAATAGTGACTATGCTGCGACTGACTTAGGTTTGTAATAAGCATTGAATTAGTTATCTCAGTGCCCAGTATATAAATGTTTCTAAAAAAAGTTAACATTATTATTATTAACATATTGCCCACAGATCTCTGTTAACAAATTATCACAGTAATAAAATAATAATCATATTAAACAGCTTCCACTGAGAAGTAAAGTCAAGTAAACTCTGGGGTAATCCACATTTAAAACTCCTTTTTAGTATACACTTCACAGACAATATTTCTTTCATTTTCTTTTCATAATGTCTATTGAGTCAATCAAGATTCAGTTAAAAGAAAGTGCTCTAGGGATTTTAAGCAAAAAAGCATTTAATAAAGAGGCTTAAGTGATTTCAAAATCATCAGAATTCTTGAAGAAGTGAAAGTCAGGAGGTCACGATTCTGCTTCTAATTTCAAGGGCAAATGCAACTATAGCTGCAAGCCAGAGATCAAGAACTGGTTGTTGTCCTGACTACCACCACTATTGATATTATAGCATCTTCATATCCATGAATCTGGTAAGATGGAGAACACATAATCTAGCTGCTGCCCAAGCTCATTTGGCCAACTGCACCATCTCAGAAAACAATAGTCTCCACTTATTTGAGGTCTCCCAGATTTGGTGGGAATTAATTTCATTAAAAGAAACCAAACTATTTCATGAAGCTTAGCCATAAAGAAGTTGGGGTGGGGGGAAACAGCTTTACATTTCCTATTCCCATAACAGGGGCGGCAGGAACAGAAGAATATAGAAAAGGATGCCAACTGTATATTTACAACATTTAGCAAGTAAAATATTCTTATTGTTTAGTATAGTCAAGTTGTAAACTCTGGGACAGTCCACATTTAGTGGAATGCCTAAATTAAAAAGACTGGCAATGCAAGTTTTAGAGTAGTTATGAAACAAATGGACTTCCTGCACATTGTTAAATGACACAATCAAATTGTCAAATTATTTGACAATATTGAATAAAGTTAATATGCTTAAAATGCAACCTAGTCCACTCCTATGTGTTTTCCCCAAAGAAATAAAATTTATTTCTACATGAGGACTTGCAAATTAATGGCCATGAGAGCTTTATCATCGTAGCTCCAAACTGAAAAACATCCCTGGTATTTTTCAATCGTAGAATGCATAAACACATTGTAGAATATTAATATACTGGAAAAATAATCCTCAATTTAAAAGAATACATTACTATAGCAAGCAAAGAAATAGCTAGATCTCAAAATATTATGATGAGTGAGCAGCATGATTCCATTTATGTAAAACTTTAGAAAAGATGAATCTAATGGATAACTCTAGAAAACATATCAGTGGTTGCCTCTATCTGAAGATATGGAGGGGATTGACTGGGAATCAGCACAAGGAAACTTTTTTGGGTGGTAGAAATATTCTATAATATGATTGTGATGGTGGTTAAACATGTGCATATATGTGTCATTGCTCACCAAACACCACAGTTAAGATTATTTTATTTTATGTAATTTATATCTCAGTAAATTCAAGTTAGAAACTGTAAATAGTCTGGGGTTTTACCCTCCTTGCAAGCAAGTTAATCAACCGTGCATGCGCGCATGCGCACGCACACACACACACCACACACACACACACACACACACACACACACACACACATATTTAATGAATACTGTTTCCTCTATGCATGAGTGTTACAGGAATTAAAAATCTAAAGCTGCTTTTCCCAAACTGTCCTATGGCTAGTATACTTATAATTACTTAGTTATATGTGTAATTACTGTATATATTTAATGCATATATATGTTTACATATTCAAATTTATATATATGTATATATATATATTTATTTATTTATTTTTCCTCTCCCAAAGACAGATAGATTAGAGACAAAGACAGTTTATTACAGGGTAATGTGCTGAAGTCCAAATGGTACCTACACATGCAGTAAATTCTAGGAGAGAAACTCCATAATTAGGAATCTCCAGACATATATACCACTGCTGGTGAACCAACCATTATTCCAGAGAGAGAGAGAGAGAGAGACCTTTTACTCTGGCATTTAAACAAATCTCCACCAGGGAGAGGTCTTTGTCTTTACCACTATGGAACATCTCCAGGGAGGCAGGTATTGCTAAACTTTACTAGCTTACAGTGTCCCCTCATATAAAAACATTCTTAAATTAATTGTAAATACTATATCTCAGAATATCCAGATAATGCAAAAATGTGAGATAATCATGAATAATTATTTTCCAATATAATGTTGATAGAAAAGTTGGCTATAATAATTGATCTGAAACATAATTAGTTCAATAAAAAATTTTAAGAACTACCTATAAGCCTGGCTCGGTGGCTCAGCCTGTAATCCCATGCCTTTGGGAGGCTGAGGTGAATGGATTGCCTGAGCTCGCAGGTTCAAGACCTGCCTGGGCAGGCAAAACCTCATCTCTACAATAAAATAAAATAAAAATTAGCCGGGCGTGTTAGTACATGCCTGTAATTCCGGCTACTCGGAAGGCTGAGGCGGAAGGATCGCCGGAGCCCAGCAGGTTGAGGCTGCAGTGGCCGGGAGTGGCCACTGCACTTCAGTCTGGGCGACAGAGTGAGACTCCAACTCAAAAAAAAAAAAAAAAGAACTACCTACAATTTTCATATATCAAGTTGACTTCATGTTCATTGTTTGTTCTTTATATTCAGAAAGTTCACATTACCTAATTATATTTCCAGTACTACAAAATTAAGTCTGAATTATTAAGTCTTTTTCAGTTCCTTGGGTTAGTCACTAATTTCATAGGAAATCTATTCAATTTAAAATATAATTGTTTTCAAAACTTAAAAAAAAAAAACTCTTCATACACTTAATATGGGAAAATTCATCCTTCCTTTGTAAATATTGCCTTGTTTGTAAAGCAGCATCATTTAACACCTGAAAATATTGTAATATTATTTCTCATATGAAAATGTTTGGATAGCTGATCTTATGTGTTTTGTATTCATTCAAAGAATTATTTAACTGAATACACAGTATGTGTCTAGGCTGAGGCTTGCTTGCAAAGGCATTGCCCTTTAGAGCAGTATTGGGAAGTCAGGTCACTAGGGTCTCTTTAAGTTGGAGGTATGGTTCCCATGGCAGCCTGAAGCAGCATAGCACGGATAAAAGAAAATATGGCTAGAGAATCAGACTTTTTTTGAGTGAACCAAGGTTCAGAGTTGAGAAGAAATATTACAAATACAAAATCCATGAATAAAGAAAGTTTAAACACTTGCAAATAGGCAATCCCTTCAGGTCCCCTCCCACTGTGGGAGGTTTTCTGCCCTCTCAGTAAATCCTGCTTTCAAAAAAAAAAAAAAACTTCCAGATAATTTTAAATGTTAGTGACTTCCACCTACAGGAGTTGGAATAAGTAAGCTTTGGCATTTGGTTAAGGCAAAATATGAGTAAAAGTTTGTGATTAGATTATTTTCCTCGATGTCCTCTAAGGAGGCAGTTATCCAGGGCTGAGGAGGCAGGCGGAACAGCTCATAGGAGGTCTTTAGACTGGATCAGAAACTTCAGGCTCAGAGACAGTGAGAAAGGGGAGAGATAGAGGAACATGTAATAGTTCTCTTTGTCGTTTGGACTTCTGAGACTGAATTCAGCAGTGGATAATGACAAACATTCACCTATGATATTAAATGGGTAGACTGGAGATGTGTAAGAAATCAAGATCTTAAGTACTGGTGGAATGCTAGTTGGCATCCTTCAAATTACAAAAGGAAACCAATAGACTCTGGTTGCAGGTATGTAATGGAATTATGGATAAAGTATACATGTGAGCAATAACACAGTATATAATAGTCCTTTTCCTGAACAACGATGGTTCATAATGATGTGAACACAGAAATATTTTCCTGTATTTACCATATCTCGGGCAGTTTTCTAAGCATTTTACACAAATTAATTTATTTATTATCCCCAAAT